ATTTGAAATTTATTTATTAATAACTATCACTGTTTTATAGAAGATTTCAAAGACCGTCTCTGTGGTCGAGGGGTTAAAGTCGATGACTTCTGATTCAATTACCTCTCTGGCGTGGGTTCGATCCCCGGGAGATGCTTTGGTAGTTTAGCGCGGAGGAAGGTAGTCTAGTACTGACGTAACTCTCCAGGTACGATGGCTAGGAAACTACCCGCCAATATGACTGAAATACTATTGGGAAAAGGCGTAAAATGAAACAAACAAACAAACAATCAAAACAAGAAGATTCCAAACGTTCATTTTTGTCACATTTTGAACTTAATTTAAATTAAATTACATTGTAATGTGATATACACGTCGTTTTTTCATTGGTTCGAATAAGACGGCACAAAATCACCAACGGCAGAACGCTCGCCGACATAGGACAACCATATTCTTTTGAGTATATCAGAAGGAAAAACTTACTTACAAATCTTATCATTCGCTAGCGATTAATACTTAAATCAGCATGCTGATAAGTGTGGTGGCTGATTTGTGCCATTCGCGTTTTCGGCTTTGACCCTGCAAAGCAAAAAGTCGAGAAAAAACAAGTTAAAATAACGGGGGCGCGGAGCGAAAACACGCTTATTAGCTTGTGCGCGGGGCGAAGTTTTATTTCTTAAATCTCGCTCCGCGACTCCTAGGGGCGACGTTTCGTTTATTAAATTTATGATATTTTTTTAAAGCAATTGAAACGGGTCTTAAAAAAGTTTTTATGACATTTTTAAGATATATAAACAGTTAAAATCATTATCAAAAAAAATTGTTTCGTCATTTTTGTGAAGTTAGCGGCCTAGCTGCCCAGCAGGCTAAACTTTTAATGATGTAGAAATGTTGTAAAGACAATTAAAACGCCTTTCAATTACATTTTTAATTATATTTTGTCATTATCAGATTTTTTTTTATTTTATGATTGTTGTGAAGTTGGTGGCCTGGCGGCCTAAACGTTTAAAGTAAAAATGTTTATAGACGGCAATAAATGTAGTTCTTAAGACTTCAAAAGATATGTAAACAAAAGAAATGGTTGTGAAGCCAGCGGCCTAGGGCCCAGCGGCATTAACATTTCATGTTGTTGAAATTTTCTAAAAACCATATTAGCGGCTCTTAATGAACATATGAAAATATATCTTTCAATTTAAGGCAGCACGCCTCCAGATTCATACTAATTTTCGTGAAAATTTTGAAAATGTATTAAAAAGTAAAATATTGCGAAGTAAAGAAAGTAAATAATTTTTGAATTGCAAACGGCACTAACAGACCACCATAGAAAATACAGAAAAGAATATGCATAATTTGCCCTAACTATGTGAGGAACGCAGTAGAAAGATAGCGGAGGATACTACAAAATTGGTCATAAATGGCACATAACACAAAAATTATTACATTTATTTAGATTTTCTTTTACTTTTGTAATTGTAATAACTTTTTGCACACACGTTTATGAATGGTACCAACAAAGGAAAGAAAACAAAAGAAGCAAAATACCAGAAAATTACGGTTTCTTTTTCTCTCCTTCAATTTAAAATTAATCTTTAGCTTTTTATTTTCAATAATAAAAAAAAATTGATAGATAAGTGTTTGTACTAAGTGTGAAACAATAGCATCTACCATTTTAGCTTTTTAATCATTTTTAATGAAATAGTCATGACGAATTATAAATCTTTCTTTCTGCCTTTTTCTGTCTGCCAATTCAAAAAATATCCATATTTGCCGAAATACAGTAATGGTTTATACATGCACATCATGGTCATAACTACATAATACACAAGATATGTTAAGATATATTCACTATTCTAAGGTCATCTAAATTGTATATTCACTGTTTTACTGTGACCAAAAGCTTCTATATATATATATATTTCAACCTATAATCGACAATGATTAAAATATATTATGAGATACTGAAAAATTAGATTGTGTTGCATGTTCAGGACTCAATAAAAGAGAGTCTATATACAAGGTGTGTACTATTGCTCTCGATAGATCACCATTTCCAAATGAGAACGAACATATCCAAAAATTGAAGATTTTGTACAAAGTAGATAAAAATATAGAAGACAACTCAAAAATTAAACTTATATTATGCGTAAAGGGCCTGTCCCAAAAGTGAACATTACTGTAACGCAAATAAATTCAATGATATAATTGTAATAAAACAATTAAACCAAACAAATTAACTGGAGGAGTGATGGGAATTACTGGGGTGGGGAATTATGGGGAAAAAACTTTTGCTATCTCTTCAATTTGGAGGTTATAATGTACTAACATATGTAGTTTGTGATATAAAGTTTTGTTTTTGTTGTTGTTAAGGGTATGAAAAAAAAACACATTCTATTGAAATCACATATTATCATTGGTTTATAAAAGCTGTCAATGCGCCAGAAGCCGTTTGGATAGTGTTCATTAATTTTCTACAACTCTTAAAGTTAAGGCCTCCAGGCTGTTAGGTCGCCAACTTTACATAAATGAAAAAAAAGATGTAAAAAAGATGTTTTTTTTTCTGTTGATATATCTATCAAATAATATGGAGCGCCTAAGGTGACATTTTCCACACTTTTATTCCGGAACCTAATTTCTTTTTACGAAATAATAATTTTTATTTGCGAAATATTAATTCGGCAAGTAAATGCAATGTGAATAGTTATATTTTTTTGAACGCTATTGCATAGTACATGCGCTATAAAATTGTTAAGGTGGTGGTGCTTCAAATTCAAACACGGACATTTTTTTCTGTTTCGTTTTGTCGATATTATTGAGTTTTGAAATAAAACATTATTTTTTAAGGATCGCACGGTGCCCATACATTAATAGTAAGGAAATATACTTTTTTTCAAATTAATAAGATTAGTGAAAATCTGAAGGGCCCCCTTTTAGCTTTACTAATGTATATGATAAAAGAAAGTTTATGTAATAATAAAGCATGTTTCCTTTTTAAAAAACATGTCAGAGAATATTTATTGCCTCAAATATTAAAACATTGTTGATGAGAGCATGTATTAGAAAATCGGGAAAAGAGGATATTTTGGATTGAGAATGACTTATCTCAAAAACCCTGTTCACTTAAATATAATTACCATTCGGCTTATAATCGCAAGGTTCATCCAGGCTTGTAAATGACCCTTTGTGAGATTAGTGGTTTTTTTGTCAAGCTCACAATGACCTAAAATAAGATTCGTAAAAACGGATTAATATTTAGTAATAACGAATTAATATTTCGTAAAAACGAATAATTATTTCGTAAAAACGAATTAATATTTCGTAAAAACGAATTACTATTAATTATTACGAATTAATATTTCGTGAAAGCGAAATGATATTCGTAGAAACGAATTATTATTTCGAAAAGTAGAATTAATATTTCTTAATTACGAATTAATTTTTCGTAAAAACCAATTAAATGCCGGGAAAATAGTGTCGAAAATGTCACCTTAGAGGCTCCGTAAAATAAGTTTAAACTACGAGCTACATTAAAAGCCGCTTTGGTTTTTTTGATAAAATTTCTATAAGAACAAAGCTTTTGGCGGACCGGCCGCTTACTACACAAGAATTGATAAAGTTAAGAACCTTTTTAAAATTATTTTCTGTTTCATATATATCTTTTAAATGACACCATTAAAAGATGGATCTTTAAGTGCATTTGCAAAGAAAAGAATTATGAAAACAAATTTTGATGTACATTAATTTTGTTGTCTTGATGAGTAACAAGTCTTTAATTGGCAAGGGAACTGGAGACAATCACCATTTAAACTTTGTGTGGTATTGAAACAAACGCGTTTATCAACAGAAAAATCGAAGAGGAAAAACAATTATTTTAAAATGTTTTAAACATCAAAACAGTACTTTTCTAGTTTTCGGTTTTCTATGGAAGCTTGAATTGACCCCCTAGATGCCGTGTTCGTGATTACTCGTGTGTCGTCATGTCGACTTATATTAACGCGACATGACGTCTTCTATCATTGTTTGGTGAGATAATAAAGACGTATGGGCAACGTTTGTTTCAAGGTATGTCGACATATTTTTTGTCAGTAATGGAGTTAATGGGAATCAATGATAGCTATGTCAACGTATTTTATCTCGACAAGCCTTGTTATATCTGCTTCTTGGAGAATATCACCGCGTATTTACATCATGGGCACTGTCGGAAAGACCCAATTAATATTCGGAAAGTTAACTCCTCCCACCACACCAAAATCTTTGAATGGTTCATCCTTTGAAGAGCATATTGAACACTTTGAAAAGGTCTATGTGTTTTAATATAAAATTTGGTATATGTCCGTTTCTGCAGTGCATTTTGTATATGCGTTTTTTATCTAACTAGCAGTTATACCAAATAAATTATGTCACAGGGTGAAAAAAATGTGCAGCCTGACCGGGACTCAAACCCGGGACCTCGGAATACCGTACCGCAGCTCTACCGACTGAGCTATCCGGCCGCTTACACATCATCGCCCCGAAATAGTGAACAGTTCCGAACCGTGACAATTATTCTAGTCAGTGCTTGGTTAGCAACCATATACTAGTATTTTATATATACGTTTATACATACACTTATCAAGACGTTTGGACACCTTTAAAATGATATTTCAGTTTGCAGCCAAATGTATTATTCTGAGTTATAGTATTGTACAAATGAAATTAAAAGGAAACTAAAAAACACGTCAGTCATTACTCGATGGGCGGGATTTAGTTTCCGGATAATAATTATGACGTGCAAATGGTCCCCGTCCTGTTTTATAATAGACATAAGTTATGTCGACATGGTCTGATACAGATGTTGTACAGATTCTATATTTCTCCATCAAAACCATGATACAGCACGCCATGTCGCACTAATATATATCAACATGATCACATATAAATTATCACGGACCACGACATCTCGGGGGGTCAATTCAAGCTTCCATAGTTTTCCTTTCAAATTATATGCGAAAATATGTGATTTTAGCCCATTTATTTGACAAGTCATAGAGATGCATCTGTCACATATGGAAGCATGAATTGACCCCCCTAGATGCCATGTTCGTGACTACTTGTGTGTCGTCATGTCGACATATATTAACGCGACTTGACGTCCTCTATCATTGTTTGGTGGGATTGAAAGACGTATTGACAACGTTTGTTTCAAGGTATGTCGACATATATTTTGTCAGTAATGGAGTTAAAGCTATGTCAACATATTTCATCTCGACAAGCCTTGTTATATCTCTGCTTTTTGGAAAATATCACCACGTCTTAACATCATTGGCACTGTCGGAAATACCTAATAAATATTCGGAAACTTAACCCCTCCCACCAAACCAAAAACTTAATACATTGAATGGTTCATCCTTGAAAGATTATTTCGGTAGACACTTTGAAAGGTCAATTGTATTTTAATACAAAATTTGGTATATGTCCGTATATGCAGTGCATTTTGTACACGCGTTTTTATCTAACTAGCTGTTATACCAGATAAATAATTTGCTTAATAAGTGCTTGGTTAGCAACGTTTTATATTTTATATACGTGTCACAGGATGAGAAAAAAATGTGCAGCCTGACCGGGAATCGAACCCGGGTTATCGCGGAATACCGTACCGCGGCTATCCGGCCGCGTACACATCATCTCCCCTAAATAGTGTACAGTTCTGAACCGTGATATACGTATACACACTAATCATAAAAAGGACGTTTGGATCTCTTTGAAAGGACATTAATTTTACAGCCAAATGTACTGTTTTGAGTAATAGTATTGTACATATGAAATTAAAAGATTATCAAACACGTTCGGAAAGTTCGAATAATACAAAACAAACAAACAACAAACAAACAAATCTGATGAATAATAAAAAATCATAAAATTTATTAGAAATATTGTTGCCCAGATGAATATTTGACTGTTTGCCAATGGGAAATGCACTTCATATTGTATAGATATTGATGAAAATTCAAATACGATACTACTTATACATGTACGTCTTTAAAGTGGTGTCTTCAGCATATTACTTATACAGCAAAGCTGGCAGTAACTTAACTGATATACATTAACACAGTGATTATGTGTCCAGACGGCCCTCAGATGGAACCCATTTGTACTTAACTTACATATGTGACTTTTTCAACCGTAAAAAGGAACATATATGTGACTGTTATACTGCCAGTCACTTTGTCAATAGATAATTATGGCATACAGATTGACAGAATAGTTTGCAGGAAAACATTGAGAGGTGTTCAGACGCTCATGTCATTGTGTCCCTCTGCATTTTACTGCCATAAACATTGTTAATATAACTAACCAATATACTGTCATTTGCAAAGTTACCAATATAATAATTAACAAAACAGTAGATTTGGCTGTTAACTGAAATGTTCTTTCAATGGTATCCGGATATCTTTTCAATAGTAAATGTATATCAGTACGTTTATATATTTTTACCGCCAGCTAGATAGATACAAGCTAGCCTACAAAATGCAATGTGAGTATATGCATAAAAATAATTGTTATTTTTATCTTCAAAAGTGTCCGACGAAAGGGATTTAAGTTATTTAACTTATTCTATTTCCAGTAAGGTTATTAAACGAATTTACAGCTTGTATTGTAAAAATTCAACTCAATTGACACATTCAGATCAGATTAAACATCAGACTGATAAAATTTTAATATAGCCGACATTAATAATGGACGAATCAAAATATTTAGATTATAAATACAATCAACGATATAGCACGTCTGTCATTACTCGATGGGCGGGATTTAGCTTGTCGAATAATAATTATGACGTTCAAATGGTTCCTGTCCTGTTTTATATTAGACAAAAGTTATGTCGACATGCCCTGATACAGATGTTGTAAAGATTCTATGTTTCTCCATCAAAACCATGATAAAACACGCCATGTCACACTAATATATGATGTCAACATGACCACATATAAATTATCACGGACCACGGCATCTCGGGGGGTCAATTCAAGCTTCCATAATGATTAAGAACTGCTACGTATTACGTATTAATCATAACGTCTTCATGGAATGTATTTGGTCAAAACAAGAAGAAACAAGTTGACATGACGCGAAACTTTTAGATAAGTGGAGGCCCTGATAAGCTTCCGTACTTATCATATTATGTTCACACCACTGTGCAAACTTAAATTTCCATAGTTTTGTTTTCTGTTATCTTGTTTGTCGATAACACGGAGATACATAAACAGATCTTATAAATAAGATAAAATATATGATCTTAACATATTTAAGGTGCGTGAGTGGGTTGAGAAGATTGTTTATTAAACTTTAAACTTATAATGAATAGAAACGTCCATAAAAACATATCTTTCACAAGCTTTGGAGAAATGATATCATAAAAGTATATTATGACTCAGAAATAAATAAATGTTTCATTCGTTGGAAAATGAGAAAGTTTAATAGTCCCCTACCGGTTTAACCGTATGGGACTTTAGGTTTACCCTCCGTTCGTCTATCTGCCCGTCAGTCCGTCGTCCGTAAACCTTTACTTTAAAAGACATCTTTTCATAAACCACTGAGCCAATTTCATCCAAACTTCACATGAATGCTTTTTGGTGATCACCTTTCAAAAATTTCAAACAATTTAATTCCATGCAGAAATCTGGTTGCCATGGCAACCGAAAGAGAAAAAAATTCTTTTAAAAAATCCAAATAGCTAGAGCTTAGATATTAAGGATGAAACATCTTCTAGTAAGTGTCTACAAGTTTGTTGAAATAAAATCACTGGGGTCAAAATTGGCCCCGCCCCGGGAAGTCATTGATTGTCCCTACATGTAAGTAGTAAAAACTTAAAAAAGTCTTCTTTTAATAAAACAAACCAAAGAGCTAGAACTTTGGTATTAAGCATGAATAATCTTCTTTGGGTGTCTATCAAGTTAATTCAAATAAAAGACCTAGATTCAAATTTTGGCCCGCCCTTGGGCATTGATTTTCTATATATGTATATGGTAAAAGCTTAAAAAGATATTCTTTTAAAAACCTAGAATAAATATAGCTAAGATTTTAAGCATGAAACATTTTCTAGTGATTGTCTACCATTGGGGCATTATAATAATGTTTTCTTTAACATTTATAATTTTACTTTAAAGTTAATGTTATTGTATTGATTTTGGTTAGCCTTTCCTTTGATTTCTCTAAGAGAAATTGGCATTCTGAATGATACACTACATTAATTTTACATTGTGAAATTTATATTTCAGTTAATTTCTCGTCGATAACATTTGGTGAATGAAAATTGTCATAAATTGATAAACAATGCAGACTGAAGGAGGAAAGAGATTACGTATTGGAATGGTATTATTATATATATTTACCAATATAATGACAGGATAAAGCATGCATATTTGTTTTCTAAAATGTTCATTAGATACATTTCATGAACATTTAATGTCAGCATATTGGATGTGCGTCCTAGGTTAAAATTTTATCTAGATCATCAATAAGTACAGATAGATTTTATGACGATTTGTTGTCGTTCTTAAGTGATTTTGACAGCCTTTGCGATCCAATTGAATACTTTTTACATAACAGCAATATATTTGAGATCCTTTTATTGTACATGGTAATTGCGATGTAATTCAAATTAAGTAAGAACTTTCAAGTTTTTTTGAAACACATTTGTTTATAATCTAGTATTAATCACGTCTGAAAATGCTTTTCCGTTATTTCTCCCCATTGTTACTTTCATATATTTTGCAGGTGATTCCTTGTCATGTCGGAGGTGCAGTACATGAACACAGGGATCGCAATGAATTGTTAGCCTGTATAGAGTATGTATTCGCTATTCTGTTATTATATATAGATCTCTAATACTATACTATACAATAATGATAGTACATGTCAGACTTTTATGAATTTTGATATTCCAAGAGTTCAACTGTTTATAACTAAAATTTCATTCATAATCAAATAGATAAAACTTTCTAACATACTTTACCTTTCGTTTATAAAACCCAATTGGATAAGCTTTCTAGCTTAAGGAGTTATCACTGTAACCATAGACTACTTAATATCATCATATTATTATTGCATTTGCTGTCTCGTTGATTAAGTTTATCTGATAATTCCATTGTAAAGACCTGAACAAATCTACTCAGCGATGTTATTTACAATTAGTTTCAAAATATCTCTGCTCAGCTACGTTTTAATTTTTTAGAAAAGAAACTCGACACTCATGAAATTTTAAATTACGAACAGTTAGGTACAATTCTTTATGGTTAGATAAGTACATGTTAATTTACTTTGGAAATCACATACTTACAATTTCTTTAGTGACATATTTGCCACTCGTGCAACAATGTTTTTATTTCTAGGGAGAGCAAAAAAACAACATATTTTACAGAAGTAACTAGTGTAACACATTTTTACAACTGAAACATAAACTAAGCATAAGAAGTACTGCTTTGTTTGTAATGTTTTAAATGGTGAACCATTTTTCCTAAAAGTTTCCTTGAAACTTTATAATGCTGATAAAGTAGTCTTAAATGCCTTTCTACAAACACACTTTATACAAATGAATATTTGTTTTAAACCTATTTGCTATTTACTTTTACCATATATCTTATAAGTTTTCATTAGGACTGTAAATGCATAGTCCTTGCAAATGAAACAGACTTCCCGATGTCATTGGTAATAACGGTAATAAAACCTAATTCAAGTACTTGCAAACTGAAGAAAACGTTTTCCAAAACATACAATCACCTGCGGCACCTTATTGTTTAAAGACATTTTATTAAATTGTAGGTTTGATTAAGGGACAGATTTCAAATTTACATATATGTTACAAAAAATTGTAGAACATGTGTGTTTTACATCATTGTTGACTGGCTATTACATAAACACTGCAAAAATGTATGCGCTTTTACATAGTAGAATAGTCAAGAGCTATGTAAAATTTTCAGATAATGCTATAATTTTCTCATATGTGACATCAATATGTTGCCCTTATCTACATTCTGCTATAATTTTGAGGGTTTATTTTAAGGTTTATATATAGTTAAATCTCAGGAAATTTCTAAAACATGTGAGATTTCATCTGAAATTATCATGTCAATATTAAGTATAATCTCCCACATATACAAGGACAGAAAAGAAAACGTTGCGATAACATAGAATGAATCGTTAATCTAATTATCATATGAGTAAAGATTGTATATTTCTCATTGTGTGAAATCAATGAAAGTCATCATCCAAAAGAAAGTAAATTAGCCAGCGCCCGGAAGACAGCCTTTTGAAGAATGGTTTCAAAAGTTCTCATTATTTATTTATTTTTTATGGTTTAACAAATGCCAACAATGTTCTTTTGTTTGTTACAATGCACAAATGAGTTATAAATCATCAAAGCCAATATGTATTCGTAATAAAAATATCTTCCATCGCATTTATAAGCAATATTATAGATTGTGGAAAATATGTCACTTTTTATATGTCACCTTTTATATATACTTTTGAATATGTACTTTTCCTCCGCTGGGTATACGTATAAAATTTTCTCTAACGGTATTGTGTTAGGAAATGCTTTATTTTGATTGCTTAACCAAGCAATCATGCATCAGCTTTGTTATATTAATATCTATTATATAGACTCTATATATCGTAAGTTGATATTATCAGCGCAATCTAATATTTATTATTTATTTTCTTTCCTATTTCTGGCCTCTTATGTCTTTGTATTATTAGTTATTTATAAGTCGTCTGCAATGTAAGGTTTTCAGTTGGGGGGAAAAGATTTTATATTCAACGTTATTTTAAGAGAAGTTTTGAAACTTAAAATATTGCGCGAGTGGCGTAAACAGTTGAAAACCCCATTCTGTTAAATTGTTCATTTTTCTCGCAAACAAACAAGTATCTTCTAAATATTTTACAGAAGAGATAAGGAACACGTTACAATAACAAAACTTACTTTGCAAATGTTAGACACTGAAGGGAAGAATGAAAAGTGTTGTGCTGCTGACGAGAAGAGGGCATCCGCTGAATTATCAAGGGAATACGCGGCTGCTAAAAAGGAAATAACAAAAGCCGAGCATGCAAAGACAAAGAATGAGGAGGCTAAGACAAAGAAAGAGGAGGCTAAGACAAAGAAAGAGGAGGCTAAGGCAAAGGTTGAGGAGGCTAAGACAAAGAATGAGGAGGCTAAGGCAAAGGTTAAGGAGGCTAAGGTAAAGGTTTTGGAGGCTGAGGCAAAGGTTGAAGAGTTAAGAAACAAAAGAATTTTTGAACTATTGAAATACAGGGAAAATATGGACAGGTAAATATAAGATATGCTGATTATTCAAGAAGAGATATATCTTTTTTCAGGTTTAATATTAATGATTAAGTACATATAAAGGAACATAGACCAGGCAACATATAATACAAAAAATCAGAAATCATTTTATTGGTACAGAAGATGATGTTTGAAAATCGCCATGTATACAATAGCTGATTGTTTCGATAAAGATTTAATATTGATCTCGATGTTATTGCAAAAATTCTTACTATAAAAAATATCTGCATGTCAGAACACACCTATTTCCATTCATATACAATATATTATTAATTTTTTAGGAATAACCTGCGAATGATACTTGGCAATGAAACAGGTAATAATTTTTGTGCTTCTTTCGTCAGTATATGTGATTTTAATTGATACATTAACCACTTGATAAACAGTTATCTTATTGGTTTTGAAACCGAGTATTCCAATGTAAATGTTTTGATCTTACTGTTGTTTTATTTCTTTCAATTGTTCAGTAAAACGTTTCTTGTTTTTCTATTCATATGTCATAGGTTCAATGGATACAACGTCTAATCTATATGTACGCATGAACACATTGGCAGATAGTGTTCCATCGGTCACCGATAGCGATGACACGAAAAGAAAATACATTGCATAACTTTTAGCGAAAGTATGAAATAATTGATTATTTATTTAACAAGTAAATTTGCTCTAATGATATAGAACCAGTCGGCAGTATATTAAAATTGGAAAAATCAGTTAATGTATGTTATTTTAGTGTGTATGTGTATATATAAATATTTTTGCTGGTGCAGTCCCCGGGTGAGGCGAACAGTTGGATAATTGGCCAATCGATTAAAAATCATGTGAGTTGGTCGGTCACTTGCGGAGAAATTGAATGTTATAATTAGTTTTCCAGGAGAGTCATTGAAACTCATGTTCGGCCATACTCGGCAGTTTGCCCACCTAACTGGCTTTTCAGCATAACTTTTCGGTAAATGTAATTTTCTCGGTAATTTAATGACTACGTATCGAGGACGATTTTTGAGTCATCGGTGTGATATCGCCTAGACATGATAAAAAATGTCTTGAAGCTGGTGTATTGAAAATCTAATATGTTTTTATGTGATATTCAATCATTCAAATGCTGAAACAAAATCATTTACTAGGTAACTATTTAACCTCCTTTAATTACTAGTATGATTTTTTTTCAATGTTTTTCTTTTTTCAAATATGCACGGTATATTAATCCGTAATAGGATGCGTGAAGTAAAATTCAAGGGTAATATTATTTTCATGCTTATAGATAGACACTTAATCATGCACTTAACAAATGAGATAAGTACTCCTTTTTTAAAAAAAAATATATTTTTTTTTTTATACTATCATTATTTTAAGTTTGTTTTGCTCTATCAAGACGGCAATGTTTACTCTATTTAATGAGATAATCTGAAAAAATGAGGTAAGGTTGAGAAATAAAATTCGAAGTAACTTCAAGATTTGGTGATTTATGCGTATGCACGACTCACCACCGGACATTCCATCAGCTTTTTCTGAAGAACAAATGCTACACTTTGTGTCATTTTGTGACAATTTTGCTCCTTAACAGTAACAAATTTGTGCGCTTTTTAGCAACAATCTCCCAGTACAAAATAAAGATTCGGAAACTTCGGGTGGGTATCACGCTAACTCACTCACAAATGTTACTTTCTTTTTTAATCAATGAGTAGCGTGTGTATCGTTTTCTGTTTATTATTGGTATATTGTATTCTCTGTGTTATGTTGCGTTTGGTTAGTATTTGTCTAACTCGTGTCCATACCCTGTCGTGTCCATACTGTGGTAGTGGTATTGTAAATATAATCATGCGTAAGAAAGATCTAAAGAATTTGACACGAAAGAGAATACATTGCATAACTTTCAGCGAAAGTATGAAATCATATTTTATATATAATTAAGTAAATTTGCTCTATTGATATAGAACCAGTCGGCAGTAAATTAAAATTGGAAAAATCAGTTAATGTATGTTATTTTAGTGTGTATGTGTATATATAAATGTTTTTGCTGGTGCAGTCCCCGGATGAGGCGAACAGCTGGATAATTGGCCAATCGATTAAAAATCATGTGAATTGGTCGGTCACTTGCGGAGAAATTAAATATTATAATAGTTAGTTTTCCAGGAAAGTCATTGAAACTCATGTTCGGCCATACTCGGCAGTTTGCCCACCTTACTGGCTTTTCAGCATAACTTTTCGGTAAATGTAATTTTCTCGGTAATTTAATGACTTCGTATCGAGGAAGATGTTTGAGTCATCGGTGTGAGATCGCAAGGATATGATAAAAAAATGTCTTGAAGCTGGTGTAATAGAAAATCTAATATGTTTTAATGTGATATTTTATCATAAAGTACTGAAACAAAATCACTTACTTGGTTAATATTTTACCTCCTTTAATTACTAGTAAGATTGTCGTGTCTTTTTCCTTTAATGTTTTTCTTTTTAGCTAACCTTTCACAAAGTGACATGGTGAGCTTTTGTTATCGCTTTTCGTCCGTCGTCCGTCCGTCCGTAAACGTTTACTTTAAACGACATCTCCTCATAAAAACCACTTAGCCAATTTCACCAAAACTTCACAGGAATGTTCCTTTGGTAGTCAAGTTTAAAAAATGTTCAACAAATTTGATTCCAAGCAGAACACTGATTGACATGGCAACCACAAGAAAAAACTTTAAATATATATTTTCTTAAAGAAAACCAAAAGAGATGGAGCTTAAATATTTGGCATGTAACATCATCTAGTCAGTATCTACCAAGTTTTTAAAAAAATGCCATGGGGTCAAAATTGGCCCCGCCCCGGGTGTCTTGAATTTCCTTATTTGTATATAGTAAAAACTTTAAAAAATCTTCTTTTAAAAAAACAAAATAGCTAGAACTAAGAAATTAAGCATGAAACATCTTCTAGTAGGTGTCTACGAAGTCTGTTCAAATAAAAGCCCTGGGGTAAAAATTGACCCCGCCCGCCCCAGTGGGTCAATTTTTTCACTTTAAGTATCTAGTAAACACTTAAAAAACTTCTTTTATAAACCCAGAATAGTTAGAGCTTAGTTATTAAGCATGAAACATCTTCTAATGGGTGTCTACCAAGTTTGTTCAAATAAAAGCCCTTGGGTAAAAATTGTCCACGCCCCGGGTGTCATTGATTTTTCTTATATGTGTATAGTAATTTAAACTTAAAAATCTTCTTATAAAAAACCCATAGAGCTACAGTTTAGATACTAAGAATGAAATATCTTCTAGTGAGTGTCTACCAAGGTTGTTCAAATAAAAGCCCTGGGATCAAATTTGGCTTCTCCGAGGGGGGGGGGGGGTCATTATTTTTCCCTATATCTATAAAGTAAAAACTTAAAAAACCTTCCCATAAAATCTCCAAAGAGAGAAAGAGCTTAGATATTTATCATGAAACATCTTCTAGTGGGTGTCTACCAAGTTTGTTCAAATAAAAGCCTCTGGTTTAAAATTGGCCTTGAACCAGTGGGCCTATATACAGATGAGCGATTTCAGGGCCATCATGGCCCTCTTGTTTCAAATATGCACGGTATATTAATCCATAAGAGGATGCGTGAAGTAAAATTCAATGCTTATCATGTTCATGCTTATAGACAGACACTAAATCATACTCTAAACAAATGAGATAAGTACTCCTTTCTTTAAAAATTTGAAATTTGTTGTTTTTTTTGTTTTTTTATTTCTTTTTATTTATTTTATTTTTGATAACTACATCATTTTTTGTTTTGCTCTATCAAGATGGCAATGTTCACTCTATCTAAAGATATAATTTGAAATAATGAGGTAAAGTTAAGAAATAGAATTCGAATTAACTTCGAGATTTGGTGCATTATGCGTATGCACGACTCACCACCCGATATTTCATCTGCTTTTTCTGAAGAACACCTGCAACACTTTATGACATTTTGTGACAATTTTGCTCCGTAACAGTTGCAAACTTGTACGCTTATTTAGCAACAAACTCCCAGTACAAAATTAAGTTTCTGAAACTTCGGATGGGTATCACGCTAACTAGCTCACAAATGTTACTTTGTTTTTTAATCAATGTGTAACTTGTGTATCGTTTATAGTTTATCACTGGTATATTGTATCCTCCGTGTTATTTTGTATTTAGTTATTTAGTATTTGCCGAACTGTTTTCTTTTTTTCTATAGTGTGGTAGTGTTATTGTAAATATAGTCTGCTTCGTAAGAGAGGTCACTGCAAGTTAAAAGGTTGTATAAATGTGTTCACTTATATTTCTCGTGCCTGGCCCTAAAATTTCTTCTTGCTTAAGTAAAATATTTCCCATCGCCAGTTCCATATAGTAAGAGTAACCGATAACATTATTTACAGTAAAGTTGTGTTACATGTATATTAGTCGTTATTTAATAGTAAACTTGAACATCATTTATTGAAAGTTATCCTGGTAAAAATTTATATATTTGTGATGTCTTTTCCATTGATAAATTGGATAAAATGTGTAATTTTATTGTTCTGTTTATCACTTATTTGTAATGTCCTTTGTATTTAGTTTGAAGGCTCGTTTTTGTATGTCTAATAATAAAAGAATGAACTAGAAGAAAGTCTTTGATAATTTATCTCCGGTTTCATATATAAGACATTACGTCCGCATCTCAGAATACATCATGCACGTATATTTTTATTTAAGGCTTCGAATATGTTCTTTTTGCTTAAAAGTTCTACCAGCAGGCCACTTAATTAAGTAACAAAATACTCAGGACCCCGTGCCTTTATCAAATGTATCAGCGGTGATTTGACGTGTGTGCACAACATGCGACTTAAAGTTTTATTTCAGGAGATATATGCATTTCAAATGGGAGTACATGTACTTCATGTACTTAGAAGATTTGTAGAGTATAAATATGCCCATTAGGAAAATTATTGTTGTTAAGATAACAATGTAAGTGTGCCAATGTGACGAGCGTCAAAGAGTTTCCAAAGAATAGGATTATCTTTAAAATGGCCGATGAAATTTGCATCATAGTAGTTATAAATCTTGAATATTTTGTTTGAATGTACCTTCAAGAAAACAAGTTTTTCGCGCAGATTTGAGTTTTCCTTTCTGTATTTATGAGTTTGGTGTTATAACGACATAAATTATGAAAGCTTGCGATACTTAAATTGTTTAACGACTGCGATAACAAGTAATGACAAGCATGTAAATAAGCACCAGACATTAAAATTATATTTAGCCGTAACCATTACCATGATAACTGATCTTTTTCAATTTTCCCATTTTTTCACTTTTTTTTTATTTATTTATTTTTTTTTAAAAAAGTAGCGATAAAATGTAAACATGTACGTTGCAAAGTACGCTTGTTAAATAAAATATAATCCTATAATGTGTTGACTTTGCTTTTGTTGTTTTAGAAATACTGTGGCATCTGAGCTTGTTGAGTTTGCATTCGTTTTAAGAACATGTATTTAGTATTTTGAATTCATACTACTACATTGTATTAATTAAAGCAGGGCC